AATCCTGTAATGTGAGAAAATACACTACACAACACAGGAAATTGTTGCCTGAGATGCCAGGAGAAGCCTATATAAAAAGTGGAAGTCTTCAGAGTCACAGCTGAAAAATAACTTGCCATCAGAATTTGTGCACTTGTTGGGCAAATTCAATGTGTTTATTTGGTGTATCTGTGTGTGTGTTATATATTGTTTCTTAATCATCACATGAATTGCTAAATCTGAATTTCCTCTTCATCTGATTGACAAGTACAAGTTTTGGATATAGGATTTGGTGACAGGCAGTCCAAAGGTAAAGCTGAAGAAAAATCCCCCAAAAGAGAAGAAAAGTATATTAATGAAGTCAACTTGTGCTTCTCTTTCAAAGCAGAGCCAGCTTCCCATTTGTCAAGAGTCCTGACCTTGCTCAGAGCCTTCAGCAGTCAGGGGGAGATGGTTCTTTCTCAAGAGCTGAACAGGAGATTTGAATTTCATATGCTTTTAATTTCATATCAGAAAACCAAACTGAAGCCATTATTTATAGACTTGCACCTCTGAAAACATTACAATAATCTGGTTAAAAAATTAAACGTGGACTTTGAACTCAAAATCTAAGTACAGGAAAGATCTATTTTTCTTGTATAGCCATCAAGGAGACCTCCACCGCGGTCGAACACTGCACGGTTTCTCAATATGTTCCTCATTTAAATTGAGTCATTGTGTTTATTAACTTAAAGGAGTCCATAAGATTCTCTTCAGAAACAATTTGGAACAGTCATTTCCTTCTTTTTCTAACTTAATAATCCTAGTTAGCAAGTAAGAAAGTGAGTTTATGTAACACAATTCAAGTGGCATCTCAGAGTCAGCTCGTAGGTGTGTCATGGGAAGGGAGCCCCACTCATACTGTTGTGTCACACCCTACCTTGATGAGGTTCTGGCTAAGTGTTGGTTAACTTCTGTTAATTTGTGTACACCCAGAAGTTAGTGAACATTAAAAAAACAGGCCAAAGTCTCACAAGGTACTCAAGACTGAGAAAACAAATTGATCCATTCAAGCTACTAAAACCATAAGGCTCGAGTAACACGTGCTGTCTGTCCTCTAGAAATGTGTCGGGTGGATGCCACACACACGTTAGCCAGACCTAATAACAGGGACGGGTGGTGCTCGGCCCACACAGGCTGCTTTTGGAGAGAAAGATGTCCCTCTTGTCATTTTGCCAGGACAGAAAAGATGAGCCTGAGCTCATGTGGTGGCAAATGTATTTATTTATATCACGTCCGGTTAGCAGTGCTAATGGATTCTCTGCCTCTGGTCACCAGCTCGACGCCCTGCAGTTCGGTCCAGTTCTGACACTGGCTTCCCAAGGTCAGCCTCAGACACCGCGGGTTTAAGGCTCCGTCCTCACATGCTGCCCCTGCTGTGGATGACAGTCACAAGGCTTGGGTCCTCAGATCTCTCCTCCTCTTCTTACCAGACTCCAGCCCATGGCCTCAGTGAACCCTGATAACCTCCCAAGGTCCTACTTTCAGCAAATACATCAGATTAGGTTTCTACCTTCTGAACAAGGATTCGGTTTTAGCACGAGCCTTGGTGCGAGCATTCAGACCATGTCACCAGGGTGGTCACACTTTTGTCTGCCGTGGGTGCTAGGTCAGAGGTTTTACACCTGTCCCCTTCAGGAGTTAAAGCTCTGCCAGAGTTGCTCATGGGACTCAGGAGCCTGCATTTCCTGTCTCAGGTTTATTTCAAAGGATAAAAATGCATGGGCAGATGAGCAGGTTCCTGGGGCTCCAGGTCCTGCAGGGCCCCAAGCATAGGCCCTTCTGTCCCCTTGCAGTGGGGACAGCCCACCCACCCTCCATGGGGGTGTTTCACTGGCAGGAGAGCTGTCTGTCAAGCAGGGGTCTGTAGAGAGGAGTGAGAATGAAGGCAGGACCAGGCTCGGAGCAGGCCGTCGGTGACTGCCTCCTGCCGCTCAGGGCTGAGGACCAGTGAGCAAAGAGATGCAGAAAAGCAGGTGCTGGGGTCAGTCTGCAGCTGAAAAGGCTGCCGGGTCACCCAGCAGTGTGGCATTGGATGACCGCAGGTGGACAGCCTGGGACTGAGAGGACAGAGAGGGGCTCAGGACAGGGTCACGGTGTCACATGAGAAGAAGAGCGGGGTTCAGAAAACCAAAGTTCAAACAAGGGAAAACAGGCTTTACCCTGGGAGTGCCAGGAATGTGTGTGTGTGTGTGTGTGTGTGTGTGTGTGTGGCCTGTACATGAGTGTGTGCATGCACACGGTGTGCGTTTAAAGGGGAGTTGTCTTTTAAAGAGGATATCCAGCTGGTGTGGTGTGGTGTATGCGTGACTATAACCCACCACTTAGGCAGCCTGAGGCAGGAGATTCTCAAATTCAAGCCCAGCTTGGGCAACTCAGAATTTAGTTAGACCCTGTCTCAACATTTAAAAAAAAAAATCCAGGGAAACCTATAAAAGAACCCCGCAGTTCCCCGCTAAGAGGACAGATTTTGTAAAGGACTTGGATATTCAGGGCTTTCCAGCCCCTCCTGTCCCTGCTGTGAGACATGGAGGGTCCCTCAGCCAACTTGCTTCTGTCCACAGGTCACCGAAGGGGACAGCCTTCTGGTGTCGCTTCGTCTCACTGTGACTGGGTTACCACACTTCCTTAGTGCACCCTGCACATGTACTGCACCCTTGCCAGCCCAGTCTGCCCTAAAAGGGACCCTGAGGCCTCTTGGGGTCTGCAGGTGCAACTTCCACTCCTGTCTCTCACACCAGAACCTGCCAGGCCGGCAGATGGGTTGTAGCCCCAGAATTGTAACACCCCACCCACCATGCTCACAGGCTCTTCCTGCACACACCTTCCGGCAGAAGCGCTCTGACACCACGCTGACACTCCTAAACCCACCTGTTAGTGCAAGTGCTGCGGCCACAACTTACCAGGGTGCTTAAATTCGCCTTTCCATCTTCCTGTTGCCTTGCGGGGTGCAGGCGTGTCTTCCCCCCCCCGGACGCCAGCTTGACCTTCCCATCTCTCATCCCTGGAGGCATTCTTTGAGGTTTAATTCCTGTGCTTTCATAGAAATACACTTTTTCAGCAGATTCACTATGTTTTAACAGTTTGTCTTACACTTCTACAGATGTTCTGTGACCTTTATCATAGTCATATTTTTAAATAAACCATTCCTGCTCTGAGATCACTAAAATCAGGAAGAGCTGCTTGCAAAATTCATGTTAGAGCTCCAACAACTGGAAACCTCTTAATGCAATGTATTATTCTATCGAGCCAGCAAAGAATGCATAATTCACAAAACCACAAGCGTCCTCCGTAACCTCCCTCCTTCCCTCAGCAGATCTAGGAAGTGGGTGATTTGGGGTCCAGAGTCAGGAGCCAAGCCGTGGCTCCTGGCTTTGAACTCCAAGGAGCTATTCTTCTGTCTCTTGAAGAAAGCTGAAGATTTTTTTTGTATTTAATGTCTATTTTTATTAGTACTGTACATGTTTGCAGTCCATAATGAAAACTGGTTTTCTGAAAGGGGCGGAATTCCTCACTGAATAGCCTCACTCCTTTTAAACAAAGCATCACCAGATGCCAAACTGGACGTCAGGGAGTATCTTAGACATAGTTTTCTTTTCACACACCTTGCCTCCCACTGGAGCAGAGTGCTGGAATTCACCAAGCTGATTTGCTGCTCTGATGGCCCATCTGGGGAGGAAGGCAGCTGGATGGGCAAACAGCCGGGTGGTGGAGTGAGGGTGGGAGGACAGTTTTCCATGCAAGCTGCACAACTCCTAAGTCTGCATCTCCAAGCACGCGATAAAGTCCTTTCTATACACTAATGTGTTTGATTTGACCCATTATAAATGAGGGCTAGTTTGGTTCTTTTCCTCCATTTTTCTTTCCTCATTATTGAAAGAACGCTCTGGCTTCCTTCAAAAGGTGTATTTGAATTATTATGGGTTTTTTTTTTACATCATGGCAAAATGTATACAACATGAAATTTACTATTTTACCAGTTCAGTGGTGTCGGTACATTTGTATTTTTACACTGTCGTCACCTTCACCAATCACCGGAACCTTTGCATCATCTCAAACTCTCAGTATTCATTAAACAATAACTTCACGTTCCCTTTCCACCCAGCCCCTGGCAGACAACAGTCTGCTCTCTGTCTCTATGGATTTGACAGTTCCTGGTATCCCATGTAATACTCCTCTGGGGATACATCCAATTGACTGACGTACCAAACAAAGGAAGTGACATTCACGAAGCTTTACATAGCACTCAGGTTGGGTAGAGAGGGAGGCCCAGAGTCAAGCAGGCTTTGTTTCCATTGAGTTCATCTGAGACAGCTCCTCAGTCACTACTGGGAAGAGTTGGACATGCAGATTACCACCCTGACAGTATGTAGAACTCCCAATTCTCTGGCAGCAAATTGGTGGTCATTTTGTTGCTTTTGTTTCATGCTGATTTATTGCTAATTGTTTCGTCTGTCAACTCTCAATTGGTGTATGAGACAGGTATATTTAATATTGGAGCTACTTTTGAAAAATATCTAGGTTTCCAAGGGCTGGAAAAGAACGGGTGTGTTGGCATATTTCATCAAGTGTACAGTAACATCACTGCAGTGTTGTTAAAATGTAGGCAGAAATGTGTGCGTCTAAGAATTGATGCAATTCACCAATTAAAAACAGGAAGACAGGTCAGAAAAATAAAATATCAGTAACTGGCCAAGTTGGGTGTGGTGGTGCACCCCTGTAATCCCAGCACTCGGGAAATTGAAGCAGGAAGATTGCTGTGAGTTCAAGTAGAATGTGGGCTACATAGTGAATTCAAGGCCAGCCTGAACTACATAGTGGAACCCTGTCTCAAAAAAAGTGAAAAAAAAAGGGGCTGGCCAACTGGACATGCAAGAGGCACTCGAGTATGGTGAAGATCTTTCAAAGAGTTTGTTGCCCTTCACCCGCCTTTCGTCCCGGGGCTGTGTTGTGAATGTGTGCTGTCCCTCTCTCCTGCACAGGGCACATGATCACAAAGGGAGGCTGCTTCCGAGACCTGAGTTTCCAAGTGAACGCTTCCTTCTGCAACCCCAAGACCCGGCCTGCCACAGGACTGGTGTCCTGCAGAGTAGCCGCCTGTCCTCCCAGGTAACAAGCGCCGCATGCGTCTTAACAGTTTCACAGATTAATTCAGTGCATCCTTGAGCCCTGAAGTTGCAGGATGAGTACTGACGCCTGCTGTCTGACCACAGCAACAAAGAGCCATCAAAACAAGCAGTGCCTGAACACAGGTCTGAAAATGCATGTTGGCTCCAGACATGGTCTGGAGGCTCTCTTGTCTGTGAGTGGACATTTCTTCCCGTGGCACCGCCCCTGCACACTGGCATCTGGTTACGATGCTCCGCACCATCCGTGATCTCAGGCTGAGCGCTGCTGCCTGCTTCCCTGGCCTGACCCTCTGTGGGCCGGGCTGGGTGGACAGCAGGAGCACAGCTTGGTGTGTGTTCAATCTGAGCCTGATGTGTCTATCGACAGCGTACTCTAGGCTACTGAGGAACTGATCTCTCTAGTCAGCTGAGGCAGGACAAAGCAGGACACCCCTGTTTGTCAAAGGGATTTCCTGGCTGAAGGAACTAGGGGTCAGACATAAACAAAGCCGGGGCTTGGCTAAAGCGGCCAAGCCAAATGAGTGATAACTACCACAGTAGGGAAGAGCCCACCGTGACGGGCGCTCAGCTTTCCCTCGTGCAGGAGACGGGTGTTCCCATGGGGAGCGAATGAGTGGGTGATTGGCTGCAGCTCAGAGGAAGGGAAAGAATTTTAAGGGTAGAAGGGGCGTATCATGGCCTGATCAGACCCACCACCTCATGAATGACTGGACAGTGAATGGCTTACATCAAAGAGGCCAGTAGTGTGGTTCTGGGGCATCCAGGAAGATCAGAACTCTCTCAGGAGTGAAGACCAAGGGGTCTGCCTGACAGCCTGTATTTATTTGGTTTTCAAACAAAAGAAAGGGATACTGAGGCAAGGCAGGAACCAAGCAGGTCCTTGGGAAGTTACTTCAAAGAATTCTCCAAGCAGAACATTTTGCCAGTTAAGAGAACTGCCTGCTTTCTAAGGCGGGCACCTTTATTGCTCTGGGGTAGAAGTGTCAGCAGCCCGTGCCCTCAGCTGCCTCAGCAGTGGTGGTATCTTAACTGCAGAACGCTCTGCATGTGAGCTTTTCCTGCTCAGCCAGAGGTTCCGGCGCTCAGCAACATAACCCTGCACAGCCCGGTCTCCAGCAGGGGCGATCCTCGGAAACCCCACCCTACCTGCCAACTTGCTTGTGGGACCCAGGCTCCTCCCCCACAGGGGACAGGGACCCTGGCACTAGAACAAGGAGGTGATTCTTTGGCTGGCCTTGGTCTTCCCCAGCAGGTACCAGTGGGGCCTAGGCTATCTAGGGACCTCGCCTTGACCCATAGTTGAGGCTGGTCTAAGAAAGGGGGCTCAGAGGAGCCCAGCTGAAGTTTGGAAATGACAGCATCTTGGCATTTGTTTAACCCTGAAGAGCTGGATCTGCATCTGTGCTCCAGGTGGCAGTGAATTTCAGCTCTGTTATAATCATATGACACCACCGGTGTGTATGAAGTCCCTTGAGTACCAGTCCGTCCTTGTACAGCTCATCACTGTGTGTACATTTGTGTGTGTGTGTGTGCGCGCGTATGTGTTGGTACATTTCTTTTTTTTTTGTTTTGTTTTTGTTTTTCTCCAGTACCGGGAACTGAACTCATGACCCTGTGCTTGCCAGGCAGGTGCTTTGCCGCTGAGCTAAATCCCCAGCCCCCTGTGTTGGTACATTTCCGTCCACCGTGAGCAGTGCTGCTTTGTCTCCTTGGTCTCCTCTGCCCCTGCCTTTCTGACCTGGGGAAATCCAGAGCCACAGCTACCTCTGAATTCTTCTGTGTGCTGTGTTCTCTATTTAACTCAGTCCGGGTCAGTGTAGTAAATCAGTTCATTCTGTTGTGGGCAGGAAGGTCACAGTGCACCGACAGCCAGGTCAGTCTAGGCCAAAGTTGGAGGGATCGCTCCAGGAAACACCTAGAAAGCCTGGACTGTGGCAGCTCCACATTCACCTGAGAAACATCTCGTCACCCCTGCCTTGCCTGCCTCTTCCATGTGTGCGTCTGTGTTTCAGGCTATTTGTATTGTCCTCTGCAGAAGAACGCTTCCAGAGATGGACGAACAGCCTTACTGCTATCTCCAGTGACAGGTTCCAGCCTTGGGGTTCTTAGGAGTTGGAGCAGGCCAGGCGGGGCTCGTTTCTGCCTCAGCTAGGGAACAGTGAGTCCCCGGTCCCCCCACTCTCCTGCCTGGAGCTCTCTGCCGAGGCCAGTCGTGCTGGACCACACAGAGGGGTGGCTGCCGTGCCTGGGCCCCACCTGTCACCCACATCAGATGCGATCCAGTCCCAGCATCCCCCACCCCCTAGGGTAAGGAGAGGATTGTTGAGATGACTCACCTAAAGGCTCTGAGATGGGAGCAACACTCAGTCTTGGAAATGCACGTCCATTGTTTTTAGTCTGTGAAGCAGAATTTTCAAAGACAAAACAGGAAAGTGAACCACATTACAGCTTAACCCTTCTGGTTCTTATTTTATTTTAGCAATGGAGTTGGGAAAATAGATGTTCTTTTGGTTTTCCTCTGAAATGTAAGCGACTTCTCTCTTGCCTAGGATACGAACAATTTTTTCTTCCTGACCAAATAGGCAGAAGGCCCAGGTCTGTTTTTCTGCCGATGAAAGCGTGTCCTTCTTTCAGTCTCCCTGGGCAGTCCTGGGTCCTCTGAAGCCACTGCTCCTTGGGGGCTCAGCTGCCAGCCTCTCTCATGCATGCTGTGCTGAGCTGAGCTGCAGGGTACAGTGGGGTGAGAGTTGGCACCTCCTATGCGACGTGAAGAAGGGTCCTCTGAAGAACGCGGAGCAGAACCTTTCAAACAGCCTTTAAACCACGGTCTTCTCATCGGTAACTCAAGTGACAAGGGAAACCAACTTGCTGGTCGGAGCCTCCAACTCAGGTCACAACTGGAAACTGTCTGGCCTCAGGGACCTACCCGCAAATCATCCATCTGTTCAGGCAGGCTGCTAGGAGTCAGGGTCCCGTATGGAAGAGGTGATGTTAGCAGGTCTGCAGGCGTCAGCCAGCGGAGCATCACGGCTCAGTCACGGGGCTCAGCCATGGAGCCTCAGCGGTTCAGGGCTGCTCCTGGGGGTGGAGGAGCAGTAGTCCCCCATTTCTTCTCTTGGCCCTGCTTCTACAGCAGACCAACTGCTCAGTGCCCTCCCATGGCTCCCCCTCCACAGCCTGCATTTCAAGCCAGGCATTTCTATCACTTGCCTTTGAAGCAGGAGTTACAAATCACACAGCTATCTCCATCCTTTATGCTTGTGGGTTTATCAAAGTGGAGCAGCTCCTGTCATTTATCTTAACTCACCCTTTCCCAGCACAAGCACACCTGCTGGGCCTTCCACAGTGGAGGGAAGTTGAGAAAGAAAATGTTTTCCAGATGGCAGGTGGGTGCACTCCCCTCTGCTCAGCACTCCGGAAGAGCAGAACAGGAGTTCTGGTAGATCCTGATAGATTCAGGGTCCTGGGATTCTTGTTCTCTTAGGAATCTGCACATCCCAGCCATATCCACCTGGCGTGTAGGCACCGTGTGGTTTTCACCTGCGGTTCCTGACTTTACGACCCCCCCAGCAGAGTTGTTTATTTAACAGCGCAGGTACGGAGGTTGGAAACCGTGTCTGCTTGGCTGTGCACTGGAGAAGTGAAAGACAGGACTCAGCAGGGCAGGGTTACTACTGCGGTTCTCCCACAGCAACACTGGCAGCGGCAGGAGGGAGGAGGTGCTTCTTTCCTGCCTTCCTTTTTACCTCTCATCTTTTTCAAATGTGAGCCCTGCAAGCACTGACCACTCGGGGATGTGCCGTTACCGCGGCAATAAAGGCAAGTGGATCCCTGGTGACATCTGTCCGGGAGAGTGCCCAGCTCCCAGAAGTGCTGCCCGAGGAGTCCTCTCGGCTCATTTCATCGTCTTGGTAGCTGAGATTTCACAGCAGTGAATCTACTTTCTGAGGCTGGACCAGCCCTGTCTCCCAAGGCCTGTGCCTGAAGGCTCTGTGGGCCGTCCAGGTAGGCCTGAAGAAGAGGTTCAAGGAGGAGCATCAGACTTGAAACTGCGCAGTCTCCAGAAGTGACAGTTCTGCATCTGGAAAGGTGGCATTTCCCGCACCTGTTCTGGAAAAGATGCCCCTTCCCGCCGGAGCAGAGTTGGAATGGATCCGACACCGGGTTGCCCCATCCTTGCTCAAAGTCAGGTTGCAAACAGCAACCAGCAAAGTCAGCCGGAAGCCAGACTGTTTCACTTCATGAATAGTAGGAACTATTTGGAAACAGTGAGCACAAAACCATTAACTTTCTAGTTTTGAATGTTACTTTGCACCTAGTAATCTGCCTGGCATAATTCAATAGAGTGTTTTGCACTTTGGGCCTTTTTGCTTGCTTGGGTCTTTTTTTTTTCTGTTATTTTGGTGTATATGTTTTTTGGTGTATACATTTATTTCTAAAGACTTTTTGGCAATAGCTTTAGGCTTACAGAGAAGTTGAGGGGAGGGGAGGAAAGGGGAGGGGAGGGGACTTCCCACAGGTTCCTGCACTGCAGAGCCCCCTGCCCCTGCCTCAGCAGGGTGCACCTTTGTCACTGCTGAGAAGCCTGCCCCGGAAGTGTAGGGAGAGGGCTGCACGTTGAAATCTTACATTATGATTGGTTATTTGTCCCCATTTCTTATTAACTTTACTTTACAGTTGTCTTACTTTCTCACCACTGGGACAAAATACCTTTTTAAAGGAAAGATATTTTGCAAAGACTGGCTTCCCTCTCTGCCTCCCTGCCTCCCTCCTTCCTTTCTCCCTTCCCTCCCTCTCTCCTTCTCTCCTTTACTTCTTTCTTCTGTGTGTTTGTGACTTACAAGGTTACAGCATTGGACATTTCTTCTTCAAAATGGAGCATTTCCTTCTCTAGCTTCCTGCAAGCTCAGAAGTTGACTTAAACTGGCAGGCAGGAGGGCCCGTCCTTTGAGTGGGCCACGGAAAACAAGCGTGTCTGAA